ACTTAAAAATGGCTACCATTCTCAGAGTTAAAGAATAGAAAATGCTGTATAATTCAGTGCCCAGATGAGAGGACTTGCTTATAGTAATTTACAAGTTCAGAGGAGGTAGAACCTCAAGAGGGTAGAAATGATATGAGTGGAGATCTTAGGGAGGGAATTTGATTGAATAATGAAGAATGTGAAGGATTTAATGCTGCCTCATGTGACAGCCAGCCTCTGCCTTTGAGTATTCAAACCCTTGTATAGTTCCCTCCCACATTGAATGGAGCTGACCAATAGGATATTGCAGAAATGATGGGGTGTGACTTCTGAGGCTAGGTCATAAAAAAATATTGTGGTTCTTATCTTGGTTTCTGTTGAATCTTTACTCTGGGGGAAGATAGTCACCATGTCAGGAGGACATTTGAGAAGTCCATTGATAGACTCATTGGGGAGGACCTGAGTTATCCTGCCAACAGCTAACCCCAATTTGTCAAGCATATGAGTGAGTGGTCATGGAAGAGGATGTTTTAGCCTCAGTGAAGCCTTCAGTTGACCGCATGACTGAAATATTGGCAAATATTTTGATTGTGACTTAAAAAGACTCTGAATCAGACCATCCAGTTAAGCTGCTTCTAAATTCCTGGTACACAGAAATTTTTAGGTAATAAGTGTTCATTCCTTTAAGTAATTAAGTTTTGGGGTAATTTTTATGCAGAAATATATTAGTACATCTTACTAGGTCTTTATCATTAGTTACCAATACACAAAAGTCATGAAAAGTTTGCATGAATATGGAATAAATGATCAGAGCTATGATCATCTCCTTTAAAAAATGCTATGATAATATGATGAAAAATGAGGAAGTCAAGCGCAGTGTTGTGTGCTTGTCATCCCAGCTATTTAGGAAATTTGGGCAAGAGAATCAGTTGAACCTAGTAGTTTGAGGGCCAGCAAGAAGAAAACTCTATTACACTAATATAACAACCTTAACCCTGTTCCCAACCAGCCATTTCTATATTGGTGAATGGCTTCACCCATTCCAAAAATACTTCAAATCAGAGACTCTGCGTCTGACAGAAGAAAAAGTTGGCTCCGATCTACATATTGTGGGGTCGGGCTCCAAATTCCTTAATAGGACACCCATAGCACAAGAGTTAAAAAAAAGAATCAACAAATGGGACTTACTTAATTAAACTAAAAAGTTTTTTCTCAGCAAGAGAAACAATAAGAGAGGTAAATAGGGAGCCTACATCCTGGGAACAAATCTTTACTCCTCACACTTCAGATAGAGCCCTAATATCCAGAGTATACAAAGAACTCAAAAAATTAAGCAATAAGAAAACAAATAACCCAATCAACAAATGGGCCAAGGACCTGAACAGACACTTCTCAGAGGAGGATATACAGTCAATCAACAAGTACATGAAAAAATGCTCACCATCTCAAGCAGTCAGAGAAATGCAAATCAAAACCACCCTAAGATACCATCTCACTCCAGTAAGATTGGCAGCCATTATGAAGTCAAACAACAACAAATGCTGGCAAGGATGTGGGGAAAAGGGTACTCTTGTACATTGCTGGTGGGACTGCAAATTGGTGCGGCCAATTTGGAAAGCAGTATGGAGATTCCTGGGAAAGCTGGGAATGGAACCACCATTTGACCCAGCTATTGCCCTTCTCGGACTATTCCCTGAAGTCCTTAAAAGAGCGTACTATAGGGATACTGCTACATCAATGTTCATAGCAGCACAATTCACAATAGCTAGACTGTGGAACCAACTTAGATGCCCTTCAATAGATGAATGGATTAAAAAAATGTGGCATTTATACACAATGGAGTATTACTCAGCACTAAAAAATGACAAAATCATGGAATTTGCAGGGAAATGGATGGCATTAGAGCAGATTTTTGTTGAGAGCCACAGCCAAAGGGGCCCCAGCAAACCTCCAGCAAACTTCCAGCTGCCGGCTGATGATTGGCTCACAGCGGCCCCAGCAACATCTAGCTGATTGGCTCCTCTGCAGTGATGCTCATTGGGCTGTTTCCCTGCCCTTTCAGACCACGGAGCTGCTCATTGGGGGACTTTTTTTGCTCCGCCCACATGACCCAGCCAATCGGCCTCAAGAGCAGGAGGATTGTGGGAGGTGGAGAGAGGCTTGTGTGGGAGAGAGAGGCTTGTGGGAAGCCTGTGGTGGCAGTTGGGGCTCTGAGGGTTTTTCCTGAGAGGCTGTTTTGTTTGGCGTGTGTGGTTCTAAAAATAAAGTTAGTTTCTTTTGACAAGTGGCTCCTGATTGTGCCCAGCCAGACTGCGGCAGATTATGCTAAGTGAAGCTAGCCAATCCCTAAAAAACAAATGCCAAATGTCTTCTTTGATATAAGGAGAGCAACTAAAAACAGAGCAGGGAGGAAGAGCATGAGAAAAAGATTAACATTAAACAGGGACGAGAGGTGGGAGGGAAAGGGAGAGAGAAGGGAAATTGCATGGAAATGGAAGGTGACCCTCATTGTTATACAAAATTATATATAAGAGGATGTGAGGGGAAAGGGAAAAAAAATCAAGGGAGAGAAATGAATTACAGTAGATGGGGTAGAGATAGAAGATGGGAGGGGAGGGGGGGATAGTAGAGGATAGGAAAGATAGCAGAATACAACAGACACTAGTATGGCAATATGTAAAAACGTGGATGTGTAACCGATGTGATTCTGCAATCTGTATACGGCGTAAAAATGGGAGTTCATAACCCACTTGAATCAAATGTATGAAATATGATATGTCAAGAGCTTTGTAATGTTTTGAACAACCAATTAAAAAAAAAGAAATCCCTTAGTTCATTTAACAAATATTTATTGATAATCGACTACATAGCGTGAATTAAGTGTGAATTAATTACTTATAAACAGCATAAATTACATAATTTTATGGCACCAAACACCATATAATAGATGAACAATATTTTAATTTCTTTTTTATAATTTTGTTCAAAACATTTTAATTTACTAAAATCAGAAGTTTTTGACTTTACTTTTACAGAATGAAGAACTGCTTGAAAACATCAACTGATAAATTTACAGTAACATAATTTTATTTTTACCAGACTGTAAGGCAGTCTCTAATTTGATTACAATCAAAATGAATTATAATTGAGGATTAAAATCACCATAACCTGTGAACAACTCCTTGTCACATCACTGTCTGAATAGTTTGTAACCCATTTTAGAAAACCTTCTGAAAACCCACTGGCACAACTGAAGGGACCCAGCAGAGATCCTGAATGTTAGGATAATTTGACCTAGATTCATACCTCTTATTTTTTATTTTTTTGATAATAGGCATCTAAATTCTCATTTTGTGTTAAAAGGAATTTTCCCCAATGAAGGATCACTCAGGGATCTGGGGCTTGGAGTGAATGCAATAACTTGCAGCTCTGTATGTGCCTTTTGGAAACAGAGGGAACACATTTTTGGTTATAAATGAGCTAGCTGTACTATTTTGTGTTTACTTAAATCAAATAGATTTTTAAATTATAAAACATTTTAGATTGTGAAATATAAATTATACGAGGGATACTGAACATCTATGTAGTCACTTCTCAGCTTTTGAGAAATACATTAAAAATTTAAGCTGAGCATGGTGGTGGGCACCTATAATTCTAGGTACTTGGGAGGCAGAAGCAGGAGGGTCACTTGAGCCCAGGAGTTTTATACCTGCCTGGAGTGAAGGTCAGCCTGGGTAACATAGGCAGACTCCATCTCTCAAAAATAAAAATAAATAAAAAAAAAAAAAAAAAAAAATTAAAGTTATTTCCTCCTCACTTCAAAAATAACTTAACATTCTCATTTTCTTATATATCATTCATCCCCTTCTTTTTTAAAAGCACATATACATCTATAATATATGGTTTTGTGTGTGAGTGTGTGTGTGTGTATATATATATATATATATATACACACACACACACACACAGTAGGACACAATACCTTCATTTTATTTATTTATTTTTATATGGTGCTGAGGAGTGAATCTAGTGCCTCATACTTGTCAGGCGAGCACTCTACCACTGAGCCACAATCCCAACCCCTATGGTCTTGTTTTTAGCACCAAATATGAATGACACCATCCTTCTGTAACCTGTTGTGCCCATTTTTTTTTTTCAAAGTGAAGACTAGGATTTAATTTATATTGTTTTATTAATGTATGGTAGTCAGTCAGTAAATTTATTGAATTGACAAATCAACTTATCCATATTGTTACATGCAGTTCTACTCATCATTGTTTCCAGGGCTTACAAAAACGTTTCTTGGGTTCGTCCTCCAGTGTGTGCGCCCATCTTAGGGCCCCCTACGGTGTCCAGGGTAGAGGAGCATGGGTTGGGTAGGACCGGTAGTGTGGGCGGAGCTTACACAGGGAGGCCCAAGTAAAGCAGACATGGGGTGGAAAAGGAAAGGTCTTTTTATCTCTCCTTGTAAGTAATTACAGTTCCAGAATTCTAAAGTTGGGCCTTGAACTTCCAAGCTGTTATAAGATATTTTTTTAAGGCAGGACGTATTCTCCTTACTATTTAGCTTGTTTTAATAACTTTTAAATATTTAAAGTATGCAGACCTCCGTTTGTAGTTTTGACCGGGTCCCACAAATAGGGGTGGGGTGCTTTTTTCTTACATCCTACTTTTTCCTCAAATGTAGTTGTTATAGAGTAAATTACTGCAACGTGGGTCTCCTTTTACGCCCACATTCCCTGTGTGAATCCTCACTTCCCCTCCTCTCTCCACTAGTCAGGACTACCAACTCTAAGTTCGACGCCAAGTTGGAGTGAAGAAGCTAACCGGACGCCACGCAGGGACGCTGGACACTTACTGGCCGCATAGCGCGACGAGCGTCCCTACGAGGCCCCGCCCGCTCCGTTCGTCCGGCCGCGTGGCATCCTGGGACCTGTAGTTTTTGGTGTAGCTGCCTTCACCAAGTCTCCACCCTCCAGCACTTGACGCTGCGTTTCGCCCTCGGGACGTCCTGACGTTACGTTCCACCTTCCCCTTGCCTCCTCCCTCTTTCTTTGGCTCCGGAGAAGCTCAGTTCCGGACTTCCGAAGACCTTTTACGACGTTGGGTCTTAGAGTCTGTCTCTGCTCCAGGTCCACTTTTCGGCAAAGTGACGTGGACGTCAACAGCAATGGCGGAAGGAGAAGACGTCCAGCCACTGCCTACCTTGAGCGGCGACGGCTGGTGAGTGAGAGCTCAGGACTGCTTCTCACTGGCTCCTTATTCTTTCTTCTCACCAACCTGCTTGTCCCTAAGGCACCGGGTAGTGCCGGCACGGAACAAAAAAGACCCGTTCTGGCGAAGTCTCGTGCCCTGCCCCGCCCCCTCTGCCTGCCGGCTCCCCTCTCGCTGCCGGTTCCTGCTCGAGGGGCTGGGGCCAGACTCGAGAGGTGTGTCGTCCAGTTGCTCGGCCTCAGTCTGGTCCCTACTTAGTCCCCGGCTTCCAAAATGTGCTGGAGAGGGAGGATTCAGGCTAGATTTGGCCAGTGTCTCTGGCTGCGGGAGTTGGAGTAGGCAGGTTAAGATGGAAGTTTCTTGGATAAAATCTAAGGTACTCGAATACCAGTTGGAGAAAAGCCCTGTTGAAATTACCAACACGACCTTTGCCTCGGGGTTCAGAGGTTGAGAGAGACTCCCAGAGAAGATTTCTTCCCCACACTTGAGATAATTTTTATATTCCGTTGTTGTTGTTGTTTTTTTTTAATCTCGTTTCGTCTTCCAACAGTTTGTGCCATTTGTCTCTCTCTCTCTCTCTCTCTCTCTTTTTTTTTTTAACATTTTTTTTCTTTCGTCAGTTTTCTCACAGATTGATTTCATATCTTTGGATTCCCATGGGACTTTATTCTCTCTGCTCCCAACCTTTTGCATGCTTTGGGAAGGACCTCCAGTAATGTTTTGGTAGGCATTACTCACCCAGTGTCCTTAATCTTTGGGAAATTCTCCTACTTTTGAAATAGTTGCTATTCTCAGTACAGTGCTCCCTAGCATAATTTTCTTTAAAGGAACATTTAGAGGCTTGTGTAATTTTTACAGTTGATCTAAATGTGTTGATCACACATATTACTTTTGGTTTTTCTTGTTTATATTTGTACATCCCACTGACATTCTCTGTACCCAAAAGCTATAGAAAACATTGACAGACATCTTAAATCCCAGGGAAGAAATGGAAATAGTTAAAAGAAATAAATAATATGATAATTGAGAAATTCAACTTTCCATTAGCAGACATCAAGCATTCCCTTTGTACTTGTATTTTCTACAAGGTGTAGGAGGAAAACTTGACCTAAATATAGCTTCTTTGTTTAGTTTGCTTATGTTAGAGTTGGGGAACTGTGACAGGCACACTAAATAACAAGGTAAAATTAATCTCATTCTTTGGGCGTGTTAATGAAAGAGGGGGCAAAAACCACTTCTTGTATGGGGGGAAGCTTCATGGAAGCAGTGGTTTTTGAATCAGACTTTGAAGAATGAGTGGGATTTACAAGAACTCTGTCCAAAAGAAATATAATGTGAGCCACACATGTAATTTAGAATTTTTCTGTTAGTCTCATTAAAGACTAAAAAGAAACAGTGAAAATTGGCTTTAATAATCTATTTTGTTTAGTCTAATACATCAACATGTTATTTCAACATACAATCATTGTTAAAAAAACAATTTTTGCATCTTTTATTTTTTATCCAAGCCTTCAAAATCCAATGTACAATTTGCATTTAGCCTACATCTCAATTTGGTCTAGCTACACTTCAAATGATAAATGTTTGCAGGTGGCTAGTAGCTAAAGTATTGGGTAGTACAAATTCAGATTAAGATGAGAGGGGCTGGAGTTGTGGCTAGTGGTAGAGAGCTTGCTTAGCATGCGTGAGGCACTGGGTTAGATCCCCAGCACCACATAAAAACAAGCAAGTAAAATAAAGGTATTGTGTCCATCTTACAACTAAAAAATATTTTTTAAAAAAGAGAGAAAAATGGGAAAGGTCTCTGGAGTAACGACAACAAGGGTATAGACAGGACAATGACTTTTTTTCAAGATTAGTATCTAAAACCGAATGGCTGAAGAGAAATTATAGAAAAATAGGTCTGGAAAAATAGTGAGGAAGTTTTTATCCAGGTATAGGAACCTTCAACAAATCAGTGATATAGATATTGCAAAACTTTTTCAGAAAGTGACCTAGCTGGTTATTGCCTGAAGTTTGCTGTTTTGGAAGAGTGGATTGTATGATAAGTTGGCTTCAGTGAGCTTCATGTTGAGGGTCATGAGAGGAAATGTTTCTGGAGTTAAAGCTTTTTAGGGAAGTTCTTATGTTAGAATTGTGAGCATGTGTCTGGTTCTAGACAAGGGATCTGGAGTGAATGGTTTCTACCCGTAGCGTTTATACTCTTCTAGAGGTAGTGTATTTTTTGTGTGGTTTCTCCTTTTTACTTATTTTATTTTCATGAAAGGGGGATCCCTGGGATGATGATCTATAATTTCTATTTTACCTTCATTCCCCTCTGATCTGTCTTTTTTTTTTTTTTTTTCCTCCCTTTACCAGTCCCTCAGATGTGGACTTAAATAGTCAGGAAACACCTTGGGATTGGGAGTCATAGGTTCCGTATAACCTCTTCTTTTAGAGTGATTGTAAATGGGTTGTTATAGAATGGGAACAGTTTACTCTTTGTTTTATGAAGAGTAAATGTTTTTAACTGTCATGTTTTTATTTTAACTTTGTCAGATGGAAAGTTTTTTAAAAATGTATCTTATCACCTAACCCAAACTCATCTTAATGATAGGGCTATTCAGCTACAAATATAAGTGTGTAATAATAAAACTAGGTTCTGGTCCTCAAGGAATTTCCGATCTAGTTAGAGAAGGCACATTTGAGAACATCAATTACTCTTGGGCTACTGTAATACAGTAAGACCTTCAGTTCTCTTTTTAGGAAAATATGGCAGATTGTTGCTATTTAAATGACCTTCACATAGCATAGTCATTACGTTTGAAACTTCTTTTTGTAAGGTTTCCCTGTTTTCTTCCTTATCATTGGTATCTTACAATTTGTTCCTAATCTATGAAACTAGATAGTGGAACTTGTTAAAATTGTGTATAGTTTTTTAAGAGGTTCACGATGGGGCTTGAAGTTCCTAAAAGTACATGAACTCTCTGATATTACTTATTTACTGATTTTTCAGTTACATTCTAAATTACTGCTTCCCCAAATTTAAATGTACAACGAATTACCTGAGGGGATTATTAAAATGCACATTCTGATTCAGTAAATTTTGACTGGGACCTGAGATGCTGTATTTCTGACTAGCTTCTGGTTATACTAATTCTGCTAGTTCAAATATCAGGTTACTTAGCAAGGTACTGAATGATGTGTATCTCAGCATGAGTACGTCAGAGGAACTTATATCACCTGACATGTAATACTGTAATTTATCTAAATACATGACTTGTCATTGCTCTTTAGATGTGAACCTTTCAAGGCAGTGACTGATGGCAGGTGATACAATAAATGTTAAATGAATGTGTCATGAATGAATGCAGATTTTTGTGTACTCATGTAGTAGCATATCAAGGTGTCATTTCATATGAATTTCCTGACTTTAGTGGTTTTGTGAATTGTCTGATTGTCTGCTGGTATAATGCTCATTTCCTGTGGAAAGCCTAGGTGATCAGAAACTTCCTAAGCTCTTTAGCTTTCTGCAACTCCAGCCATGTAAATTCCAAGAGTATGATGAAATCCTTTTAAAAGGGTTTACAGTTAGTTTGAAATTTAAATTTAATTTTAAAAATTAAAATAAGTTAAGAGAATCTAGATTTATAAAACCAAACTGATAAATTGTTACAATTCAAAGATTAGTAATATTTTTCGTAGTATTAAAGAGACCAGCCTTGATTTGAACATATGTTCTCATTTCCTGAGTCTGTCTGCTTGAAATATTTCCTTAAAATAATCTTAAGTCATGGGGCTGGGATTGTGGCTCAGAGGTAGTGCGCTTGTCTAGCATGGGCGGGACCCAGGTTCGATCCTCAGAACCACATAAAAATAAAGGCATTGTGTTGTGTCCATCTACACCTAAAAAATAAATATTAAAAAAATAATCTTAGGCCATAATTTAGAAAATTTTTGATAGATATTATTATTACACACTTATATTTGTAGCTGAATAGCCCTATCATTAAGATGAGTTTGGGTTAGATGATAAGATACGTTTTAGAAAACTTTCCATCTGACAAAGTTAAAATAAAAATATGACAGTTAAAAACACTTACTCTTCATAAACCAAAGAGTAAACTGTTTGATAGCATAGAGATTTTAATTACATAACTTGATATTCTGAACTTCTTTAACTTATTATTTACTCAATATTCACTTTTAATTCATAGTTCTGTTTTAATGTTAAATTATTGCTAAACTTTTTTTAAAATTGAAGGATTAGTTCTATAAAGAAGCTTCAATTGTTAATTTGAGATGTGAATAGGATTGTTTTAAGAATAATAACTTCTTTTTAAAGTTTTGTGCACTCTGTAAATGGTACTCTCAGTGCTCCCTGCTTTATAAGTATTAAAATGTGAGGAAAGATTGAAAATATCACTAAAGGACTGGGTGATTGCAATTTTAGACATAATATAGTCAATAAAGAAATACATTTAATATGAAACAGAAAGGAATCCTTTGTTTAAGAACATTGACAGCTTGTTAAAGCTAGATATTATCTTAGGGAAACAATGAAGGAAAGCAAGGTTCAGTGGTGCAAGTTTATAATCCTGGCTACTTGGGAGGCTGAGGCAGGAGGATCACTTAAGCCCAGGACTTCCAGGCCAGCAGCTGGGGCAGTGTAGCAGAACCTGATCTGAAGACAAACAATAAGAAAAATAATCCAAAAAAAGGGGAAAGAAGAAAAAATATACTTATTATTTATTAAATTAGGGGTTAATGATGCTGTTTGACTTTGTAACATATAATTAGAGTGCGTGCAGAGATGAGAATTGAAGATGACTTGTTTATATGATTTATTTTAAATTCTAAATAAATTCAGATTTTACAGTTTTTAGAGGTACTTCTTAAATAGTCACTTCTGATTTTGTTTCATATTGATGTTTTAATGATTCACAAGTTAGGATTAGTCATTGATTTTTGAATATTAAAGAAATGTATTTAAGTTAATTCATTTTTATCTATATGTACCTACTGCAGAA